GTCTTCCAGAGGTTTTGTGAAGGAGACACGGACTCAAAATGATCTGCAGCCTTCCTTACGTGATCAGAGATGTGGTTTAATATGGCTAAAATGTGCATGCTTTTATCAGCTATACTGACATGAAGCCACAATTAGATTATTATTAAAAATGTGATATCAGTCTACTTCTGATATGAGGGAGGCTCCTCCTTGTCCACAGCTTGTCTCAGGGTGTTGCTTTTAGTAATTGGACGTCTGAACGGAGAGTCAACAGCACTGATGTGGGCGGATTTTCCTCAACCGTATTTAAATCCTGCAGAGAAATCAGTCTCATTAAGAGCTGCTACCACACCTTAAACCACTTAATCAATCAGCGTCAGAGTGGAGGATTTGTGACATGATGGACTTCCCCGCCAAATGAAAAGATAATCGCTGCCACAATATATGGTCGCTTAAAGGTCCCATGTCATGCACCTGTAATGTAGCCATATCACACAGGGTTATAAACCAATAGACAGGCCGATATATTATTATTAACTAGGACTAATTTAGTAACATTTTACATTATATTTTTTAGATCAACACATAGATCAAGGACATGTCAAGTTGTAGAGAAAGACAACACACCATCAATTTAGCAGCTTCCTCTGATAATGCGTCACACAAACAAGCACATAGAGATTGAAATGTGACTAATTTCAGCCTGTCTGCAGCAAGTGGCAGGTACACTTTAAATCATAAAACGGCAAGAAATATCACAGCTGTCAGTCCGAATACATTTCAGAAAGATATAGACTTCATATTGGGAAGAGGACACAAAAGAAGGATGCAGTTAAAGTGAGGAGGTGATGCAGTGAATTGTTATTCCATTATTGATTTAAGTGTATCAATAATTATTTGGGTCAATTGTTTAGTCTATAAAATCCCTATTTCCGACACCCTGAGGCGATGCATTGAATAGATTGTTAGTTCAAGTTTAAAAGGAGAACACACAACCACCATTACGTTTCAGTTCCAGGAAGGTCGCGTTGGTGTATCTTTATTTTGTGTGACTTAATAACACACAAAGCTCAAATACATTCTGCACCTCTGTTTGCCTGTATGTTATTCCTGTGATTGACAGGCTCTCCCTTTCGATCAATGCATAATGAAGAGCAGGTATTGATACTAACAATCGATAGTTGACACCAGTGTCCCTCAGTATCGTATTGTTGTCAAGGCTGGAGAAGCCTCCACGATGACATGTTGCAGAATTGAAAAGAGAAAAAGTAATTGAGGTTTAGAACTTTTAATATTCATAGGGCTAGACTTTAAACACACTGCATCACTGCTGACAGACCAGAGCTGAAGTGCGTTTAGTGCAGCTGAACCGTATCTGTACTTTAACAAGGAATCCAGCCTTTTCAGCACCAAGTGTTTCTCTAATCACTCTGATGTGAATGAGGATGAAACGCTTGCATTCACGCAATTCTCCTCGTGTGTGTGTGTGTGTGTGTGTGTGTGTGTGTGTGTGTGTGTGTGGTGTGTGTGTGTGTGTGTGTGTGTGTGTGTGTGTGTGTGTGTGTGTGTGTGTGTGTGTGTGTGTGTGTGTGTGTGTGGTGTGTGTGTGTGTAGTGTGTGTGTGTGTGTGTGTGTGTGTGTGTGTGTGTGTGTGTGTGTGTGTGTGTGTGTGTGTGTGTGTGTGTGTGTGTGTGTGTGTGTGTGTGTGGTGTGTGTGTGTGTGTGACACTGTATTTAGACGCAGACTGGAGCGAATTAACAGACAATATGACATGTCAAATCAGCGGGGCCGCCTGACGGGATGACTGATTGAATCAGATCACATTATGATGAAAATACAGCTGTGTGTCTGTGTGTGTGGATGGGGGAATACCCTCCACTGGAACAGTCTGGAATCAAGAGGCTGTTGCTGTGGCAACGCGAGAATGGGAATTTCCCTAGTAACAGACAGTATGCGCGGAGATACTGGGAAGAGTGGGAACAATCACCTTGACGAATGTGTGAATGTCACTGTGGCAACGGCCGCACTCCTTCAGGTGGAAATACGAGCAAGTGGATGTTAGATGCATGAATGGCTTCATGAATAGATGATGAGCTGAGTGGATTCAGCTGGACGGTCCCCTGTGGAGAAATATAGATTTTTCATTTGTTGACACTATTTGAGCCCATAATTGTGCTCATAATAGGGGACATCTATTGCATGATAAATGATACAACACAATATAAATACATCTTTTATTTGTTGGCTAAATTCTTAAGTTTGTCTCAGTAAATGACCGTAGAGTATGACCAGTTCAAGAAACTGAAACTTTGGGATTCAGACCAACTATTTATACAAGGTGTACACACATTGGTAGCAAAATACATCTTATTTATTTTCTAGTCCATAAGTCTTGAAAACCAAAACTGCTTCCCTCCATATCTTACTTTGAGAAGTATAAATGTTTCTCTACAAGCCTTTTTTGAAAAAGAAATTGCGTAGATGTGAAAATGCACATGTTGTGAGTCATCAACCAGGACTAAGAGCTGCTGCCACACCTTAAAGAGTTGAATATCTGAGACATGAGGGACAGGAGTTCCCTGCCAAATGTAAAGATAATTACCGCCATGCAAAATTGGCTTTTGGTTGCTTGAATACAAAAATTCAATCATGCTTCCTTCACTCATCAGGTGAGTCATACGGTGCCAGGAAAGGTATTCTGATATCACATGCCGCCATTGAAAAGCACCTGTAATATATCCACATCACACAGGGTTATAAGCCCACTGAAAAACAGATTTATAAATCCTCCAGGTCTAATACAGTAACATTTTACATTACTTTTTTATAAGTTAACACGCCATAGATGCAATATAAATGACAGGGCACGTTCTATAGAATGATAACACGGTAAATGACTTTTCCAGCAGCTTCCTCTGATAATGCGTCACACAAGCAAGCACAGAGAGATTGAAATGTTACTGATTTCAGTCTGTATGGCAGGTAAACTTTGAAATCATAAAACGGCAAGAAATATCACAGCTGTCAGTCGGAATAACATTTACATGATGAAAGAACTGTGCTGTAGTGTATTTGCAGGAAGAAGGGGAGAGACATTGCAATGCTCTGGGCAAGAACAATGCCACGTTGGTTCAGTCAATTAATTGTTTTTTCAATTAGCCTGGGAGCATCAGTTTATAGGGGTGCCATAAGTGAATGTCAGACAAACTACAGATTCATTCATGTGAACGAAGTAGAAATTGACCCAAGGGGAAGTAGATTGTAGATGTAAAAAGTACATTTTTGTTATTGTACCCTTTCAATAGTTGTCTTTATAATTTAACTGAGATTTTTTCTCATACTGATGTTCTGAACAATCTGTGTTGTTGTATTTGCTGTAAAGTGTCTCTACTGTAGGCTATTTTTATTATATGTACAGCACTTTGGCTCGACCAAAAATCGTTTATAAATGTGCTATATAAATAAAACCTGATTTGAGTTGATGTATTACTGGCTGCAACATGCTACAGAAAGTCGGGCAAGAACAATGCCACGTTGGTTCAGTAAATTAATAGTTGTTTTCAATTAGCCTGGGAACATCAGTTTATTTATATTATACAGTTTATTGGGGTGCCATAAGTGAATGTCAGACAGATTCATTTATGTGAACGAAGTAGTAGATTTGGGATGTTTTTTTGTACCCGTTCAATAGGTGTCATTCTAATCTAACTGAGATGTATTACTGGCTGCAACATGCTATAGAAAGTCGTGGGCTGGGGGCTTTTTTCAGTTCGAGTGCTTGTTGCAAGCTTCACGCCTCTTCCCTCCGTCTCTCCTGCTGCACAAGATGGATCCTTCACGAAGAAGAAGGAAAACACCCCTGCCTCTTTCTCCCTCTCTCTCTTCTCATAAAGTGGGTCAGTCTCTGCTTCTTCTTTCTGTCTCTGTGCGTTAGGATATACCTTCACTCGTTCACTCTCTCACACATGTTCAAAGGGGATTCCCAATCTGCTAAACCTGCAGCCACCAAGACAAATCCTCTGATGTTTCACAGAGGGAGAATGGGTGTGGTCCAATGTAAAGGGCCATATTTAATCAGTGTGCTATCTACAGCCAAATTAGTGACCAGAAAATGGGGGGGGAAAGCCTTCTTGTACCTTGAACACTATTACATCATTTGAGGTGTTTCTATCCTTCATCAGTCCCTCTTCTATCCTTCATCAGTCTTTATCTAGTGACTCAGTCTTTGTCCCTCCGCTCCTTCCCATCACTGTGTAGTTTAATCATTTTCTTTAACGTCAGTCATTTTCTATTTGATGAACCGTGAGAGGCAGAAGTGATTGCTGTTTAATCAGAGCAAAATGGATTAGCCAAGAGCACTGCCCCCACTGACTAATAATTACAATATGAAACAAAAGTGAGTTTCGTGTGTTTGAAAAATAAAATCTGTGTCGTTTGAAAGTAACAATCGATATAGGGTTAAGGTTTTAGATAAAGGGATACAGGTAGGGAGAAACCAGCATGATTTAATGAAGGGAATCATACCCATGAGGCAAATTATCTTTCCGTAGATAAAGAGTAAACAGAACCATTACGAAGCTACGCCATCAAAGGTTCAAAGATAATTGATCAGCGTCATTCAAGTGGAACAATGACCACCAAGGAAGGATTAGTCTAAGAATCCTGTAATGGATTGGATGTGCCTGACTGGTCTCTGCACAGGAAATCCCCCAGGATGCATCAGGTCGCATGTGGTCACATTGTTTGGAAATGTCGTGTATCTCAAATGTGTCCCACAGGATGAATATGTAGATTAATCATTCTGTTGAAGCTGACAAAAAGCATTTTCCTGATGCTAAGATCTTTCCACTTCTTCTCTGTGTGTGGTGTGTGTGTGTGTGTGTGTGGTGTGTGTGTGTGTGTGTGTGTGTGTGTGTGTGTGTGTGTGTGTGTGTGTGTGTGTGTGTGTGTGTGGGTGTGTGTGTGTGTGTGTGTGTGTGTGTGTGTGTGTGTGTGTGTGTGTGTGTGTGTGTGTGTATAGAACCACAGCTGAAGGGCATAGTGACCAGGTTGTTCTGCAGGCAGGGCTTCTATCTACAGATGGGCCAGGATGGAAGTATGGATGGGACCAAAGACGACAGCACCAACACCTGTAAGTGGACACACACACGGGAACACATGACTGCAAAAATATGAATAGTTGGGGAAAGTGCATTTTGTCGAGGCAAACTGCAATACATATTCAGTTTGATTTGCCAGGGCGATCATTTATCCACACAGAATATCTGCTGTAACTAACTGTGTGTGCAACCACTTCTAACATTTGTGACTTCTCTTGACAATGCACTAATGTGAGGCGGTGCAACAAATCCTTTAATATTTAATACTGAAGTGAAAGAGCTTCAAATGTCATCAAGGCAAAAGAAAAAAGCCGTGACAGAGAGGCTCTTTCAAGGGCAGACAGTTATTTAGAGATGACCGTCTCGTCATTTGATTTAATGAACGTCTGAGAGTGCTTCTTCTATCTTCTCACTACAGAGAGCCCAGCAGGAAAGATCCAATTAACCCTAATTATTGTAGCGTTAATGAAAAGCTTAAAGTAGGGTCAACACATTGTCCCTCTGCAGCATCTGACATTCAAGCATATTGAGCTAAATGAGCCACAGTTGTTGGTATCGATTGAAACTCACAGTATATGCAGTCATAAAGAGACAGTGATGGAGCTTCTAGTTGTGCACACAATGTGTTTTCACCAACTGTTGGACTTAAAGCAACAAGTGGCTGCTCAGAAGATGTTGTTTTTCAGTCTGTTTGACCTCTGCACCCGGCACTGCCCTCGGGGAGTGGTTACAGATGGAGAGCTTATTGATGACTGGAGCCGTTGCTATATTCTGATGTGCTAGGCTGAGGGACCAAAACGCTGATCAGTAATCACTCCACCTTGGCTGAGCTGGCAATGTCCCACTTGTTTAATAATAATAATAATGCATTACATTTTTTATTAGAGCGCTTTTACAGGTGCTCAAAGCGCTTTACAAGTACACATTACACATATTAGACATGTAAGAGTCATTACTGCGGACATTACCCACAGTTTACTATGATTTGATTATTTTTTGGCAACTGTTTCCACATCAAATGGCGTGTCGATCAAATATCATTTTACTGCCGCTCACACTTGTTGCCAAGCGTCATTTTCCATTTGTTTTCCTGCCTGCCTGTTCAGTGACATTTCCTGCTGCATTTAAAAGCAGGGTGCTTGCCATCTCTAATCAGATGGGTGCATATCTTTATGATAATGACGCCTGTGCATGAGCGTGATATTTATCCAGGATGATTAATCGCAGGTGTACATTTCTATTCCTTCCGCTCGTTGCTTGTTAGAGACCATTTTTGTATGTAACCTTGATTAATGACGGCTGTAATATCCCAGGTGTAATCAGCCCTTGATTGGAAGAAAAACAAGCGCGTCCATTTCACGGCCTTCATTTCAGGTCATTGTCATGTTAGGATTTTATAATATCAATTACACAGATAAATTAAGTCTGTTCAAATTTGTTTAACTTATTAAAATTAACATCTTTACTTGAATTCAGTCAGACGGCAACAAATCAGACAAAGAAATATGTACAAGTATGCAGTAAATAAGCATGTTTAAATGCCATTCAGGAAGATTTTACTCCTTATAAGTAAACTAAATCATGTACATTTGCAAAATAAACACCCAAACTTTTGTCAAGTATAAATCAGAGTGTTTTAGAAAAGACACATTTTATAAATATTTTGAGCAGCACTAACAAAACCCCACTCATCTCCATTGTATAGGGGTGACGCAGGAACGAGACAGATATTACAAAAGCCGGGCAAATGAAAGTGTTGAATCCCCTCATCCGTCAGCACTTACTGAAAATGCAACAGTTCAGCTTTTACCAGGCATCACACTCACAACATGAAACAATTAACTTTAGCCACAGGCTGCAACCACCGAGTGAAAAAAAATAGCACCATGAATAATGAATGAAAACACCCCTTAAATGCTTTGGAAACCAGCGTCGGTTTTAAATGCTGTGGCATGTGGCATGTGGCTCAGGACAGAGAAACATGTTTTTAATGGATTCAGATTCCACTTCAACCCGTCCTCAGTTTACTCCACGCGTTTATCAGAGATGCATCGTGTCCTTGTTGGATGCTGCCGTATTTAATAAAGAGGAAACTGGTAAAATTACGTTGGGAAATGTGTTCATTTTCTTGAAACATTATGTCTGAGTTTTCCTCCAAATTGTGTACCCACATCCTAAATGGTGGCAGAATACAACTTGAATTTATTTTGACTTTGTTTCGACTGTTTGTGCTGCCAGCGGGATAACCAATAAGTCTGAAATGAAATGAAAGAGCCACGCGGGTCAACAAGTCTTTGACCTCAGAAGAAATATTTAAGAATATTTCAAAACCTTGAAATGTCAAATATTGGCCTAATTTTCACATGGGAAAATACCTGGAGACAGTATCACAATGGACATATAAGAGTAGCAACTCCCCAACATCTTGCAAGCTGAAAGGGTTAATTAATGATATTGGAGTTAATCCATTAAGGTAGATCCGATTCCAAATGTATTTAAAAATAACAGTCTCTACTTCAGAAAAGTAGAGATCCCTTAAACTCACTGAAGAGCTGACAATCATGGCTTCAAAATACTTTTAAAAGTATTTAATATCTCATGAGTACAACAAATTAAAAAGATACAAGACAGTAATGGGTTGCAGGAGGTGAGCAGAAACACCCGTGACACGATCATTGTCCTTTCAAATATCTGCCCGAGGCTATAAGGGCATGTTCTGCCGTGTGTTCCTTTACCGTCTTCTTCAAATAACACCGACCCCTTGGCGCTGAGAGCACTGTGACTCAAGAAAAGGCTGATATTAAAATGTTATGAAGAAATGACGGCAAAGATATATAATACCCAACGGAGCTGATGCAGGAACATTTTCCCGTTAATAACTGATGTTACGGTTTCAGGATGCTCCTCAGTTACACACAGGGATTTGCTTTCCAAGAATATGTATTTTTTAATGGACTCTATGACGAATAATGCATGTATTTATTTTATATTTTTCTTTTAACCTGAATGTTAAACTATACAGCTTTGAGACAGAGTATCACGGCACAGGATGTATATTAAGGAGAATTCATGTTTAAAGAAGTGGTCTGAATTTTCAATCAGTGTTCTGCAGGCCTCTGAGTTTAAAAGCCCCGCAGTGAGCCCATCGAGGCCGAGATGCTTCTTCACCTCACTCTGAACTAACTGAGCAGCAGACCGGCTGACATCTGAGTCCTCAGAGCACCGGGGGAAGAAGAGGAAGAGGAGGAGGAGGAAGAGAAACACGCTGCTGTTAACTCACTGTCTCTGTTTCTGTCCTCAGCTCTGTTTAACTTAATTCCTGTGGGTCTGAGAGTCGTGGCCATCCAATCAGTGAAGACCAGCCTCTACATCGCCATGAACGGAGAGGGTCACCTATACTCATCGGTGAGCACACACACACACACACACACACACACACACACACACACACACACACACACACACACACACACACACACACACACACACACACACACACACACACACCCACACACAACACACACACACACGCACACACACACCTGTATCTTTTCAGCGCATCATTCTTATTGGTCCTTTTTTTGGGTGAGGTTTAAAGCTTCTTTCTGGAAAATGATGGGGCTTAATTACAAATGGTGTGTTGCTCATCCAGGTCCTGAGTGTTTGGTTTTAATCTGCCGTAATTCTTTCCAGGAGACAAATGGATGCACCAGACAAATCTCTTGGTCATTTATAAGACCTTCCTTTATCCACTGGATAAGGACAAAACAATGGCCAACATTGATTCATGAAGGCACGTCTTTTAAACTATGATAACATATGTGAAATCATGGTTTTGTTTGTACCTGTCTTTGCTAAAAGTAGTCTTATAAGAAGACATAGTCTGAAGGATTTCAATTGTTTTACTAATCTATTGGAAAACAGTGTTCCCATAGCCCAAGGTGACCCCTACAAATAGCTGGTTTTCTCCAATATACAGTCCAAAGAATATCATAGAGGACTAAGAAAACCAATTAATATTTCATTTTAAAGATGCAGAAACCATTTAATTAAAAAAAAGCAACTATCGAAGAAAGGTCTTGTACATTTGCATTGGAGCTTGGGTAACTCCACATACGCTCATTATGCTGCTCAGAAGAACAATTGGGTGATTTTAGTTCATCGCTGTACAGACGCTCACATCGTCGGGGTTTACCTGCAGAGCCTCTTAAGTTAAAACGGATCAAATACAGATAAATCTCCTCACTCTAAATTATACAATATGTAGCTCAGATTTAGGCTTACATTTAAAAGGGAATTGAAGCATGCCTGATACAATAAAAGCTTTTTTCATGTCGGAGGACTTTGAAGGTTTGCGTGAAAGAAGATCGGAGACAGGTGCATTAGTAAGAGAGAGAGAATAAAGAGCACTGCTGTTAATGGATGCTATAATGAGACACATTTTCACTGTATGGACATTAAGCAAGTCTGTTTTAGAGAAGAGTTTTAGATGATAAATCAACCCCTAAAAAACAACACAGAATAAGGGACGTGTGACACACATTGGAGATGGATTAGAGTTGGGGTGAAATGAGGGAAAGCGAGGTAGAGGAGGCACGGCCGCCAGAAGAATATGAATAATTTCCATGCTGACTCTTCACACTCTTCTCCCCGACATCATCCCTCCTTCCTTCACTTCTTGTTTTGGGGGACGAGATGACAGGAGCCAGAGAGAGGGGGAAAGGAGGTGAAGCAAGGAAGGGAGAAAGGATGTGGTAAGGAAGGATAAGAGGCGAGGAGATAAAAGGAGGGAAATGAAAGGGAGAGGTGACAAGGAGAAAAGTGAGGCCAGGACAAATCATGAAAGAAAGAAGGAGAGGGGAGAAGAAAGGATAGAGTTGGGTTTGAGGCAAAAGAAAGGAAGCGAAGAAGAAATAGCACACAGACAATGAGAGGAAGAAGATTTACAGGAGGACAAAAAGGTCGCACACAGAGGAGGAAAAAGATGTAGACAGAGGAGGAAGAGGATGTAGACAGAGGAGGAAGAGGATATAGACAGAGGGGCGAAACAACGAATAGGACGGAGGGAAGCGGTTTCAGGCTGAGGAGAAAGAAGATGGGAGAGTAAGAAGGCAAACTGTAGACAAAGGGATGAGGAAGGAGACTTTTGGAGAAGAAAGCTCTGTGCTGCTCTGCTGGGCTTTCTCAGCCTGTCTCTGAAAGTCACAGATGCATGAGGGCTTCCTGTAAATAATTGAAGAGGGGGAGTCCCCCCCTACACACACACAAACTAGAAATCCCCTTTTAAAGCTGTGTAGAGGTGAAGTGAGAATGTGTGACCATGTTCCAGCTCTGTGACTGATGTACAGGTGGCTAGAACATATAAGAATTACACGGAGAAGGTGCAATTCATCCTGATGTCAACTCTGATTGGCTTTTGCAAAAGGTCAGGTGTGTTGCGTTGTTTTACTGTGTGGTTAGTTTGCTACAGTTAGTTTGACCCAGGTCTTATCCACAGGGTCTCCTTTATTTATGTGTGTAATTGTCCTCACTGAGCTTCTTGTTTTTCATTATCTTCCATCCTGCCCGGTTACTTATTGTACAGGTGTCAGGAAGTCGATACAAATCACATTCTAGTTCCCGTACCTTCAACTTAACGACGTGCCCTTGTCAGAAGTCTTTTCGAGTTTCATGCTCGAGCTGAGTTTCGCCTCAGAAGAATTCTTTATTAATAAAAAATTGATATTCAAGGAGCAAACACACATCATTGAGTGAGAAGACTTAAAGCGCACAAGTGTGACTGCATTGCAATCATTATAATCAGAACATGATGTACTGAATACAGTGTGCATGAAAAGGTCTTTAATACTCTTGTATTTAATTTAGGGCTGTCAAACGATTACAATTTTTAATCAGATTAATCACAGCTTAAAAATGTATTAATCATGATTAATCACCATTCGAACTATGTCCAAAATATGCCATTTCTTTATGTATATTGTTGTGGGAATGGAAAGATAAATGAAAGAAGGCGGATATATCCATTTAACATACAGTATCTATGTTTATTATAACATTGTTCTGCGTGTCAAAATGAAAGATAACCCACACACCTATCAATCATCAAACCGTGGGGTCTTAATTCATTACGTGTTGATTTCTATCAACGGGGGAGTACTTCAGGAAAGTCGACAGAGGGGGGGGGGGGCGGCGGCTCGTGGAGTACTTCTTGACCACAGAGTGTGAACGTTATGATCAGCTGTTTTAGCGCAGTTCTCCAGTGAAGGGGGGGAGTCTCCCTCTGCAGCCGGTTGGCGTAGTTTTGGCACAATTCCGTTGTACAGACCGACGTTAACAGCAGCCCTGTCTGTGCACACGGAGACCGACTCTGTCGTCCGGTGATCTAAACCGCCTTCTGGAAAAGCTTCACAAGTACGTCGGTACGCAAATGCACTTTGTGACACAAGTGACGGTAAGCATTTCAGATTACGCACATAACCTGCGTACCAGTTATGTGCACCCCTGTACTACAGCAAAAGTATTCTCCGTCGGGACTTCCTGCAACAACACCACGCCGTTATCTTGATTCTGATTGGCCAGAAGACATTATCAAAGATGTTCTATTGAGAAGACGATCACTACGTGACAAAAGTTTTCAAAACCGTTCTGATTTTCGGTATTTCCAGACAGGTGGCTACTGAAATCAATCTTACTAACTGCTGTCTGTGCAATTCACGGCGCGAGTTGGCGGACTTTATTTTGCTTACTTTAACATCATTTTTCATGGTGGGGATAAGCCATTTCTTGGTATGGGGTGTAGCCTACCCCGCTGCCACTGGTGGGATGTATGGGGCGGGCCATTCTGCGTTAAATGCGTTAAATATTTTAACACAATTAATTCAAAAAATTAATTACCGCCGTTAACGCGATAATTTTGACAGCATTAATTGAATTACATGCAACACTTTTCTGCCGGCTTCTATTTCTGTCAGAAATGGAATATATGCATTTTTCTGAATATTTTGTTAGTATACAACAACATACATTTTTAATATGTTCATAATATCTATCAAGAACATTTTTTAATATTATTGTGACACCAATTTCTATCTATATTTCTTTAATCTCCTTGTGCCGTGCATACTTGCTTGTTCTTAAATATATGCCTCGCTGCTCTCAATGAGATTCTTTATCCTCTTATTGCAAATTGTTAATGATTTATCCTCTTATTGCAAATTGTTAATGATATGCTGCAAACTTAGTTATACATGATGGGACTGTCTCATTAATCCCACATCCCAAGCATCTGTCAGTGTGTGTTTGTACGGCCCGTGTGTGTGTGGGTTTAGGATGTGTGTGTGCATGCGACTAACAGATGGCACTGTGTGCAATGAGCTGCTATGTGATAATTATGGAGCATGCTGGGAAAAGTGTGGAAGAAAGTGCTGATGAGTTTTGGACTGTGTGTGTGTGTGTGTGTGTGTGTGTGTGTGTGTGTGTGTGTGTGTGTGTGTGTGTGTGTGTGTGTGTGTGTGTCAGGATGTCTGCTGGGAGGTGAAAGAGGAAATCGACTTTGACACTATAACTGCTACTCCTACTTTTATTATCATCTACTACTACTTCTTTTTGAATAGTGTGAGAAAATGTTTACGGTGAATATCCACAACTAGCAATAAACTATGAATATTCTATCAGGACATTATATCAACATAAATGATAGGTATAAACTCTCCGCTTTTAGTCCAGATATGTCACAGAAACAACTAGATGTCAGACAGTAAATAGCCTGCAGTCCTCCCTAACAAAACCTCCTAGTCCCTCTGAAAGGACTCGTTATGTGTGTTTCCCGTTAAGCCCATTTAAATCCCCACAAAATAACAAATCTATGAATATAACCTCTGGTAATGAACTCCCTGTGTGGAAAGCAAGCTGAGACCTTGCCCTTGTCTAGCTCACAGTGTGCTGAAAAGAGGTTAGAAGACGTATAACTTAAACAAATAAAAGGACATTTTATTAAATAATCTGGCAGCATATTAAATCGTAATCATCTGTGCTTTCTTACCAGAATAGTTTAATATCACACACATGTTGTTTATATGACAGAATGATTATAGTGTTGGCAAATAAACACCTTTACATATCTTGTATTATCTGACCTCGCAGTATAAATGTTTTTTGGTTGAGAAATGGCTAAAACAAATTATTAAAATAGCTGCTGCTGTCAAAAAACTAATCATAACCAATCATGTCAGCTCATGTTATCCACAACAACATTAAAAACAAAGGCAGAGACCTTGCTTTCGTATATCCTGAATTCGTCCTTCCTTTTGGGTTTCACCTCCTTTACTCATATTTCTCTTCTCTCCTCCTGAGCCGCAGCATGTTTTCTTAGAGCAGGATGTTTTCCACAAACGTGTGTGTGTGTG